ATGTATGTATGTATGTGTATATACATATACATATATGTATACATGCATTTATGTATTGGTTTATTCAGTTAAACAAATATAATGTGCGTATAAATATAAATATATATATATATACATATACATATCACCAGAACCCAGACCCAAGCCTAAGGTTCTTGATCGAATCCGAAAGCTTGCCGACAATTGTTCCCCGGATTTTCGTGGGAAGTGCAGACGCTAAGGGGGGCTTCCCAAAATTAGGCGTGCCTTTTCGAGGGGACCTATAACGAGGATTGGAGTACAGTATTTTGGGGTCTATTTTGTGGTCCGCTATTTCTGGAGAGTGCCAGTATGAACTCACTTGCTCACATTCTTGCCTCCTGGTGAGGCCAGCAATCCAGCAATCGCTACTTACAGAATCTTCCTGCAGATCCTAGTATCATTCAACGTGTATTCCTTGATGATGGATTTTTTGGCTCTGTGGTTCCGCCTAAACTCTCTAAACAACTATATAATCCCAGTGTCCAATTTCATATTCCTTGTTGTTTGTCAATTTGTTCTGCATTGTTGGGGTATCCTATCCATGAGTAATGGATAATGGACTCTCTGGGCTTGTAGCTCTTTACTTCTTGCGATGTCGGCTCACATCCGCGATTTCTCATATCAGCTCAAAGACGTCACATCTCAGCTAGACCCTAATCCTTAAGCCTACATAGTGGGTTTCATGTTTCCATTCCTCCAACCAAAAGCAGAAGCAGGTACAAGGCCAACATGGACATGACCTGGAGTGCTCATTTGGTTTAATTGGACCTGCCAAATACAAATACGAATAGCCTATACTAGAAAAAGGGTTATCCAGGCCATTATTCTAGATATGTGGGAGGTGTAGGCATCAGGATTCAGTGTGAAGTGATCCGCAAACAACATTGGACACATAAACCCAGAGTTCCAAGTTCAAGGCGTGGTGGAGAAACCTCAACACTCTAAACCTTGATAGAGCGAGGGTATAAAGCATCGTTAAGATGCTATTCAATTGACCCAGGCCTTTATAAAGTCATCGTTGTAACTGAAGTAAATTTGGATTTTGCAGTTGAGGGCTCAGGGTCAGGAATTGTTTCTACAGGCGTGCACTCTTGACAGGGGAGCCACTTGAGGCTCACAGAAGGATCTCACACAGCGGATACAGCGGTTACAGTGGAAGGCGCTGTCTACGAGCTGTATATAGGACTCTTATGCGGTCTCCATTTGTGCAGTCCAAAACAATGGGCTCATTGTCGCAGGGACACCCAGCTGAGGCCCTTAAGTTTGGGACCCTGAGGCTTCCGACCCGAAAGTACACCCAATCCCAGAGCTTCAAGCCCTACAAGCCATAGATCCCCAACAACCCCAAACCCTTACCCTAAGCCCTAACCCGTAGACCCCTAAACCCCAAAGCCTAAGCTTCTTTAAGCCCTAAGCCCCCTGATGCGCACCCAAGGCCATTCAAGCCCCATCCCCGAAGCCCCAAGTCCATTTCCTTGCAAACACTACTAAACCCTAATAAGCCTATACCCTAAGGGTCCATGTACCAAATATTTAGGTACTTGGGATTTTCGTAATAGTAATTATAGTACAGGTTTCTGACTAGCAAGTACTTGGACCCCTAGGGATAAACCCTAAACCCTAAACCTTTAGGAATAAACCTTTGAAACAGAAAACGGATCGAGGCACCGGGTTGCAGGGCTTCTGCGTGTACAATGCCTGTGGCTTGGTCACCTTTTAGGGTTTAGGGTTTAGGCTTTAGGGTTTAGGGTTTAAGGTTGAGGCTTTAGGGTTTAGGCTTGAGGGTTTAGGCTTTAGGCTTCAGGGCTTAGGGTTTAAGGTTGAGGCTTTAGGGTTTAGGCTTTAGGGCTTAGGGTTTAGGGTTTAGGGCTTTAGGCTTTAGGCTTTAGAGTTTAGGGTTTAGGGTTTAGGGCTTAGGCTTTAGGCTTTAGGCTTCAGGGTTTAGGCTTTAAGGTTGAGGAGGGTTATCATCCCCAATAATGGAGAATAAAAAGGAATGGAGCATGCAATGAATCCTGAGTTTACATAGTAGGTTTTCTAATATTCCCCCAGGGGTTCAAATAGCTTAATGTAGGTAATAGTTTACAGACTTCTGTGGGCCCAACGTAAGCATTCTTTGTACACTTGGATCCCTGGGGTTAAACTACATTCATAGAATTGTATCTCTGCACAGTGGTACATAAATACACATGCACGCACATGTTCGCCTGTGGGTTGGTGGTACTAGTGAAGCCATTTCCATGCACGCATGTGTGCGTATGTAGAGTTATGCAGGGGGAGGGAAAGAGACAAAGAGGCAGAGATAGATTGTGTGAACGGCTCTAGGTCAAAGGTGGTCAGTGGTACTCCATGTAGATGGACAGATATGGGCTTCCTTCTTCCGAAAGTTTCATCTAGATACTTAAGGGGGGTCACGAATTAGGATTACCATTCACAGTGGCCCAGGTGGCGGAGGAACTGGATCCGGTCTCGGCTGCCTGATGTTGGAGCGCCTTTCCGTGGACTACGGAAAGAAAAGCAAGATCTCCTTCACGGTCTGGTGCTGCCCTCAGGTGGCGACTGCCGTGGTCGAGCCCTACAACACTGTTTCGTGGCAGGCCATGAGCACTCTTTACATTTTAAAGGTTTGTAGTCTATGGTTTTGCAAGGAAGAAATTCTTCCAGACGTCTTGAACCGACTTTCCCGCTGAGGTCTTATGTGTGCACTCCCTGCTGGAGCACACAGATGTGACCATCATGTACGACAATGAAGCGCTCTATGACATCTGCCGCAGGACCGCGGCCGCACGCGCACTCAAGCCAAGATGTTCACGCCTTGAATGATATGATTCAGTCATGCGTGGGTGAGTTGCACGATGTTGCACGTGCGAACGAAGTGTGAAGCGACTGAAAACCACCTTTTTGCATCCTTCCAAGATCTCTCACGCAAGACCCGACTCACCCGCTTGTGCCCTCGCTACGGCGCCGCGTGAGTGGGCATCGTACCGAATTGGAATGTTCAAGCAGTCACAGCGTTTGAACAAGCTGCATCAAGCAGTTCGTCCACTTAAGCTCACATGGTAGGACGTTTGTTTCGGGTCTGGGCCTGTTTGGATTTTGCATGGCAAGGCCCCATTGGAGTCGGAGTTTAAGTACATTGGTTGCGCGATGACCCTTGCGTTGCAGGAACCTCGACATTGAGCGCCCGACGTACACCAATCTGAACCGCCTGATCGCCCAGATCATCTCGAGCTTGACGGCGTCCCTGCGGTTTGACGGTGCTCTGAACGTGGACATCACGGAGTTCCAGACCAACTTGGTGCCGTATCCCCGTATCCACTTCATGTTGACCTCCTATGCCCCAGTCATCTCTGCGGAGAAAGCCTACCACGAGCAGCTGTCCGTAGCGGAAATCACCATGTCCGTCTTCGAGCCCGCATCCATGATGGTGAAATGTGATCCCCGTCATGGCCACTTGCCTGCGATAGTCTGTTGATTTCTTCCACCGAAGCTTGAACGCGTTTCGTCTGGCTCCTAAAGAACAGCTTAGGCAAGTACATGGCCTGCTGCATGATGTATCGTCGGGCCCTCAGCTCTTGGCAGTGGGCGCATGCAAGCTTTGCAAAGCAGAGCAAGGGACCTAATGAGAGGTCTGATCTTGAGGATGTGTCCTTATAAGAAGAAGCGTCATGCCTTTCATGCTTTCCAGAGACCCTCATCTTTGGAAATATCCGCAGTGCTGCTGATCTTGCCCGCCTAGGTGGTGATGTGGTGCCAAAGGATGTGAATGCGGCCGTGGCCACCATCAAGACCAAGCGTACCATCCAATTCGTGGACTGGTGCCCTACTGGCTTCAAGTGCGGAATCAACTACCAGCCGCCCACGGTGGTGCCCGGTGGCGACTTGGCGAAGGTGATGCGCGCTTGCTGCATGCTCCTCGTCGCAATTTTATGAAGCACACTTGCATCCGCAATGGCCCGCCTGTGGTGTGTGTGTGTGTGTCTGTGTGTTTATGGTGACTACTTTTTAATTTTCTACTTTCCTTCGGAGGGGTTAAAGACATCTTCTCCAGACTCCTTCTGCTAGGGAGGCTAGTGTGTAGAACAATAGCCGCACAACGTTCTTGAATCTTAGCGCCGGTCTTCAACTCAAGACTTCAGGATCTCGAACAGCACCGCTATTGCCGAAGTCTTCTCCCGCATCGACCACAAGTTCGACTTGATGTACTCCAAGCGTGCTTTCGTCCATCACTACGTTGGAGAAGGCCGGGGCTACAAGGGGCATGAAGGTTCCAGGCTTGTACCTGGATGTGTGCTAGACGTCCGGAAGTGGATCCAAGTTGAAAAGCTGGCGTTGAACGTCGCAAGCACCATTGTCGATGCATCAGGTTCTGCACTGACCAATATCCAGGAAAGCAGCCTGATGCCTTGAAAAGCAATAAGAGTCATGCAGAGAGTGTAAGTCAATCAATTGCAGCTGGTTCAAGAGACTATTATCGATTGAAGCCCTTGACAATATTAAATCTTTACGGCTGCGCTGCCATCAAATCTGCCAAACCTCATGCAATGTCATGGAATCTCAAGAAGCCTTGTAGAAGGACAATAACATGGCGTAGCTCTGACCTCCTAGCACGTCAAAACCCGCAGCCCTGACCCTTATGGGGGTTTCCCAAAATGAGGGGTACCTTTTTGGGGATCCCTGTCATAAGGACTATTGTAGTTTGGGGTCTATATTGGGGTACCCTAATTTCAGGAAACTACCCTATGGCATAACAGACCAAGGCATTACATCCCAGACCCTTATCTAAACCCTCAGTGTGGAGCTCCAAAGCCTGAAGCCTTAAGCTTCAAAACGCGAAGCCTCAAAAATCAGGGGGTTAGGGTTTGGGTTTTTCCAGTCCACGAAAACCAGGGCACAGACGCCGTAAATCCTAGACCTCTACAAAACGTTCCAAAGAAGAAAACAAGCACGGAAATCTTGCACCCTGCCGCCTACTTGGAGGGTCGCGGGGACTTAGCAAGTCTACGTATAGCCCCTATAAGCCACATAATGACCCCAGCTATCCCCACGATTGACCTGCTTGCTAATCCCCCCTGACCCTCGAAGTTAGCCCCCAGGGCGGAGGACCCTAAACCCTAAATAGTAGTTTCCATTTTCCATTATTCCCTATATAGCCTCAATATACTCTAGTAGTTTCCATTTTCTTTTCCATTAACCCAACTTGTGCCAGTAGCTGTCCTCGACAGGCATGGAGGAGGAACCCCTAAACCCTTAAACCCTAAACCCCTAAACCCTAAACCCCTATAAACCCTTAAACCCCTAAACCCTAAAACCCTAAACCCTAAGCCCCTAAACCCTAAACCCCCAAGCCCCAAAACCCCTAAAACCCTAAGCCCTTAAAGCCTCTAGGCATGGAGGAGGGCGAGTTCTCTGAGGCACGGGAGGATCTGGCAGCCCTCGAGAAGGCCCAGCCCGGCTTAGGGTTTATGTAAGCTATAGTCTAAAGCTCCTTTCAGGGGGTTAAGGGTTTAGGGTTTAGGATTTAGGGTTTAGGGTCTAAAGTCCTTAAAGGGGGCTGTATAGGAGATTATATAGGGGACTATATCAGGAGTTATGAAGGGGGATGCTTGGAGTTTAGACCATAGTAACGTTTATCTGGGTTTCCATTCAAATGCGGGGACCCCAATATAGAACCCAATATGCAATGCGCTATGAAGCTGGTTATGGGGACTGCCCACAAAGGGACATGAGACCCTATACAGGCTCCGTGTAAAGGAATGTTTGTCCATAGGTTCCATCATGGTGGCTAGAGCCGCAATAGTATTCATCTTCAGTTAACTTTCAAGAGGTAGCGTCGGTGCTTGCTGAAGGGGTAGCGCGTGTTCAGCAAAGGGCCACATATGGAGGCTACGTACGCGTGTGGCATAGTTTTGTTGGAGAGTTCCTCCTCCCCCCCTCCTCCCTTAATCCCTCCTCAAAGGCCAGGCCGGAGAGGCACAACCGCTTCAGAATTTTCTCTTTGGGCTCCTTCGGAGGAAGTCATTCCCCCGAGCATGTCTAAGCAGCTGTCACCATGACAAAGCGTGCTGGTTGTGTTTCTTAGATGACTGTAGAAAATCCCCTCTCCCTAATAGTAGCCCCCTCCAGTTTGAATATTCCCATTGTAGAATGATGTAGTATTTTGGGAAAATTTCGTATTGGGGAGGTCGGTGGTTTTCAGGGTAGGGGGAGATGCTTGCTATAAAGCCCCTATACAGCCCGGGTGACATTTCGTGTTCTTTAGAAGTTGATTCTGCATTATTCTGTCCTATAGGGGAGCGGATTACAAGCTACAACCCCAATCGTAAGGGTCCAAGGACCCAAATGATAGTGTTTTAGGGCCCAAATACTATAATCTTAATGGTATTTGGGCCCTAAAACCATATTATTGGGTCCTTGGACCCTTATTGCAAAGCAGGACTACGAAGAAGTGGGCATCGAAACTGCGGAAGGCTCGATACTGCGCAGGAGTTGATGGGGTTACCCTAGGGCTACAAAGTAGACCCCGAATGTAGGTATTGTCTGTGGGCTTAGGTGTAACCCCCCAACCTGGTACCACTATATATGTATTCACATTTATGTATTTATGTTTATGTGTATACATATATGTACACGAGGGAATATCCATCAATGGGGGTTGGGGGGGTTATTGGAGGATGGTGATTAGTTAGGCGGCAACACCAGTATGTTGCCAATTCTGGAACGGATACATTCCAGAGATACCATGACTCGTTCACGTGGAATTGGGGTGCAACCTGTCGTATTTTCAGATGGAGTGGACCGTCCACAAGGTAGGCCTCACCTCAGAACACTTGTTCAACTTGAGCTACTGAACATATCGATGGTTGGTGTCTGCGAAGCACCCCCACCCGCTACCCCCAAAGCCAGCTCATCCTGAAAGGAGCAGTGGTAGGCATTCATGAGAATTAATCAGGTGAGGGAGAGGAGGAAGGCTATGGCGACGAGTTCTGAGACTTCCGTGGCCAGTGGAGTCAAAGAGGCAGCTAGCTGCGGTATGACAGCATGTCATCCACTTTCAAGGTTCCATACATACATGATTATAACCGCGCTTGCTTCCTAAGCATTGCATGATGCTTCGCACACACGTGACGGGTGAAATGATCCCTGTTTCGGTGCGCGTGGCTTGCAACGCCAGCGACAGCCCTGACAAGGACTGGAAGGCGAGGGGAAAAGTGCCAGCCGACTGCCCAAGCAGAATATCTTGCACCACTTGGCGTCCCTCAACTAGCTTGATTTCCAGAAGTTAGGAGACATCCGAGCGACGCGTGATTTTCTTCATGAACAGCATGCCACTTTTTGATCTGATAGGCTCTGAGCCTGCGACGCCAGCAACATTAACGATTCAATGATGAAACATCTCAGGGATAATTCCCTGGGAAGCATCCACCAGTGGTGAACTGTGCCTCCTGTCAGCCCTGCGCATTTTTGTATACACACATGTATTACGCATGGCCTAAAACTAATCTGCGCGGCTCATAAACGTTGGTTGGATCGCGGCATTTGGCTCGTTGAAGGATCTGTGCCTGAGGCCACTACATCACGAGGCGAACGTCTGTCGAAACATAGAGCTTTGATATCCTTTGACGTCTGTGCTGGAAGGGTTGCGAGAGTTAATTGTTCATTAGCTAGAAGTATGCGTGGAGCCCAGGGAATTGGTATCATATGCGTAGGTTATGTAGCCCTTTATGTTTGAGCGCCTCGAGACAAGATGCCCTGCTTGTCGTGTAAAGTCCGTTCAAGAGCACGGCACTTTCGTAGGAACTTGCCAGGCCTCAGATTGACTTTCCCTCGGTCTCCTAAATAGCCCAATGTAGGTACTATTTACGGACCTGAACTTTGCCTTTGGCAAGAAAGTCGCTTTATGTCTACAGATAATGCCGTACATTGGGCCCCAAGGTCATAAGCAGTCATTGGGCTGTTTGAAGCCCTAGGGCTCTGCCCTGATTCAGGTGACTTCCGACACTTTCCGACATACACTCGCAGCCATGCGTGAGGCCATCTGCATCCACATTGGACAGGCGCGCGGGACATGCACATCTCAATCGCATTCACATGAGGTGCTGTGCGATGCATATGTGATATACATATACACATATACACACATGCATATATATATATACATATATATGTATATACATATATCTCAGATATAATATGTATACATGTGCGTATACGTAGATATGTGTGTATATGTACAGGCCATGGCTGTGTGTAAAGCAGGGATCGTTTGGTTTGCTGTATCCCTAAAGCCTGCAGCTTGCGCCATACTACACATTACTGCACGCTGCGCTCTCTGGCGAAATCTTCTCCAGTTTTGCACAACCTTCCTGAAGGTAATCTGAATTGCTATAGAGATCTCTACCACATCGCACATACTTTGCGCGAGAAAGGAAGCAGTCAGTGCTTGTCTATACACGGCCTGCTTTGTTTGAAGACGGCCTATAATGGTAAACGGAGGGGTACCAACAGGCATGATTCCAGCAAGAGGCCCAGACGAAGCAACAAGTTGAAGTGAGTACAGTTGTGAACATCATAAATGTGTGGAACTCCATGAAGCTGCACCTGTGGACGCGCCAGAACCTTTAAGGGAGTCATTGCGTAAACTCAGGAACATGCGTTCTAAAGTGTAGAAGGGAGACCTCCATAGAGTTGAACATGCCCATATCCTCATCCAGGGCGGAGTCCAGATCGGCAACGCCTGCTGGGAGCTCTTCTGCCTCGAGCATGGCATTCAGCCTGATGGACAGATGCCCTCTGACAAGACGTTCCTTGGCTGCTGGAAAAAACACTGATTCCCGGTACGCCCCTTTTTGCAGCTTTGGGGGCTTTGATGAACTCCTAAATCCCATCAGCATTCCCTCCTGTGATCCTTAAGAAGCCCTCGGCCATGAGCATTTCCCAAAAACCAAGAGCTGGCAAAGGATTGGTGGCGGAGATGCGACTGGGCTTGGAATTTGATGAGATTGGGTAGTTTTCCTTAAAGGGGAGCCCAAAATTATGATCCTTAATTATTTATAGCGAGCCCCAATAAGGCACCGCTGAACGGCCCAGGGAGCGCGGGCGTCCGGATGTAGAAATGGAGACGTCTTGACAAAATATGCGGAGGCATGATGCAACTTTTCCACTTGGAGGCTTATAGAAGCTTCTGGTCCCACACCTTGCATGAGAAATCCTGGTTTAAGTTACCTTAAGTTGTCGCTTGCGCTCGCGCAAAGCTGACAGTTCGAAGTGTGAGCTTCCTGCGCACGGGGCGGGGTTGCAGCGAGAATCTCACTTATATGACAAGCTTCAAGCAGTACTACAAGGTCCAGAATGAGAGTCTTGAAGCGGGGGGCTCCGTTTTAATGGCTGCCCACTTGAAGAATAGAGGCTTGCGCTTGGCTATTTTTGGGGGATGGATAGTACTCGGAAGCTCAGGGGGACTTCATAAATGAGTTTATACTACTGGGGTTACTATATGGTTCATTATAAGTATACTCACCAAGCCCCCCCTGACCCTCAAAGGCGTGTTTCTCTTCTCCTTACTTCGCTCACAAAGCAGAAGCATGCCGCTCACTTAAGCAGAAAAAGCCTTCGAGAACTGCTTCGCTGAAGTTGCTAAAACTAGAAGTGTAGAGATCAGAAGCTCTGAAGCTTTGAACCCCTAAGCTGTACATCCCTTGATAGCCCCAACCCCACCCCAAACAAACCCATCAAGAAAGCCCAAACCCGAGGCGCAGAAAGTCTCGGCAGCCCAAACCCTAAACCCTTCTTAGCCCCAGTCCCTGAGCGCTAAGCCCAGTTTCAATGTTCTTTTCCACTATTCCCGGGGTCCTGGAGCCCCAAGGCCTGAGTGCTGTACCCTAAACCCTAACCCTAAATCCTAAACCCTTACACCTGGGGCCTGAGGATGCGTTCAACACGTTCCCTGGTTGACTCTGGCAGTCCTCTTTCGGGGATTCTTCGGGCTTTGATGTAGAGGGTTTAGGGTTCTAGGGGTTAGGGTTTGAAGGGTTAGGGTTCAGGGTTTGAGGTTTTGAGGGCTTAGGGTCTAGGGTTTGAGGGCTTAGGGGTTAGGGTTTGAGGGGTTAAGGGTGTAGGGTTTCAGGGGTCAGCATTAATGCAGATAGGCCTAAGGTAGGTAGGCCTGGTTTGGGCTTAGGGCCGTGGGCTTTAAAACCCCCTCAACATTCATTTCCTAGCAGGATGGGCGTTAAGGACAGCTGAGTAGTTTTTTTTGGGGGGGATACTATGGTACCCAATATAGGGTAAGATCATATCTTCCTTCTGGGTATAGTATTTTTATATAAGGAATATTATCCCCTAAACCCTAAACCCTAATCTTACTAGTTTTAACCACCAAAAAAACGCTACTCAGCTGGGAGTTGGGGGAGGTTCGCCAAATATTCTCTGTTGGATCCTTAAAGGTGGTGCCATAGGGTTTAGGGTTTAGGGTTTAGGATACTATGGTACCCAATATTACCCCAATAATGGAGAATCAAATGGAAAAGAAAATAGAAAATGAAATGGAAGCTGGGATTGTACAGGGGTTATATTATATTATAGCTCTCATGATTATATCCTCAAATTCCCCTGCAAGGTAATTCCATTGTCGGCGTGCTGGATGGAGTAAGATAAGCTGTGTTTAAGGAGTCTGTATACAGTACCACCTGATCCAAACCGTACATCACGGTTAATCTTTACAACGCTAGCCTTAATCCCTAAACCCTGCATCCTAACACCGAAACCTAAACTCTCGAACCCTAAGCCTTAAAACCCCCCAAAGCCCAAAACCCCTAAGGGTTTAGGGGATTTAGGGTTTAGGGTTTAGGGACCCTGAAGCCTTGCTAATGCACCTGAGGTTCTTCAGCGAGACCGGGGCCGGCAAGCACGTGCCCCGCTGTGTGATGGTCGATTTGGAGCCTTGATCTGCTCAGCTTCTTTCACGTACTGGTTGCAGCCGTTATGGCGGCACATATTATGTATATATATATATATGTAAATAGTTATAGGTCTGAGGATCTTACTATAGATAGAAGCATTTCATGCTATATAGGTACACATAGGTTTTTGGCGGGGGGTTTTCAGGCAGCCCAATACCCGTCTATGAAGGATGGCAAGTTTGATCACATGAGCGGTTTTTTGGCACTGAGGCATACTGGGCTCGCTGGGAGTGTCGTTGTAAGTGGATATTGGGGTTATATTGGAATAATGGAAAAGAAAATGGAAACTATTATAGTATATTGGGGAGGTAATTACTGGTGCGGGCGATGATGGTGGGCATAGAGCAGGCATCACAATGCCTTTTATGATGATTGTGATCTTTTGACTGCATGGTGAACCCAAACTACTGGCGCAACCAAAATGGCGGCGGTCTAAACCCCATGTTCAGCCTATGCCAGGCTATAACACTGCTATGTTTACAACACGCTTGCGGCACTGGCTTGACAAAATTGTGTTACTGCTATGGCTACAAAGCAGACTATATTACTTTGCATCTCCATGTAGATGTAGATCTTAAGCTGCGGTTTTGGGCTTGGATGTTTGGCAATCCACTCTGGGCGTGCTCCTCCCGGGTAGAGGTGTCAACACACCCATGGGTTCTTGGTTTAGCTTCAGGGTCTAGCTTTAGAGGTTAGTCTAGGGGCAGGGATTTAGGGAGCGTAGGTCGTGGGGTTTCTAAGTAAGCTTGCCGACTCCCGGACGCTTCTATCAAAGGGGTACACCACGATCCCAGGAGCCAACCGTGGTGGATGAAGTTCGCACAGGCACATACCGTCTCTTGGCAGACATCTTCAGGGAGATTAAAGTGTTGAGGTTTCGAGGTTTATGAGATTTGGAGTTGCGCAAATGATGGATGGCTTTTCCGGGCAGTAGAGGTTCACGTCTGGGAACCATGAATTTCCCAGATCTACTTGTTCGAGGGCATTACTGTTCTCTAGCCGCCCACCCAAATCCTAGCCTAGCCTTTT